TCCAAATATGGATACAAATGGTACATTACTGCAAATTTTAAAACGCTTTGAGATAATTAAACCAAGACGGACATCAAGTCCCTTGTGAGGAAAAATAGAAATGATGAAATTCGAAAGAAACGCTGGAGCGTGATTCCAGGCACACAGACAAAGTCGAACCACGTCTTCAAATTGCATTGCTTACATCGCTTCAGCTGTAATAATTCGTTTATACGACTACTTGACATTCGGCGGTCACTTTAGAATTTGTCTGGCCCCTGTACAAGTGGGCTTATTTTCGGGCCGCGCCCAGGTCCCATTTGCCCTGTCTTCTTCACTTATGCCTTCTTCCACCCCCTGGAACGCTACATTAGCTGACACTGACCTTTGAAACTTGGCGGTAGGAAATGTTGAAGTGGGAGTGTACCTCGTCCCTAAAATCGCTGTTTCTATTCTTACGTACAAGTCAGCTATGTTGAGTCGTAATCCACTAAGGTTGATGAAACAAAATCAGTATAGTTTCCTGGTGTAATGCGTTGTGATTTCGCAGTTGCCACAGCTGTGGCGTTTTGAGTATTTTTGGCAGATAGAAGACATTAGGAAGCGGTGGCTGTACGAATTTTAGGCGAACACGGAAGGATTACTCCTTGACCCGAAGATCGGCTCATTTACCGGTGATCACGACAAATAACGAATTAGTCGCGAGATATACGGCTATCGACAAAATCATAGCAATTCGATGTCAAAAAACCTCAGCTGCACTCTGGCCAATTGGGTAATGCATAAAAAATTATAGAGTAGACATGCATACACTCTGATATAACTACCTCAAAATTAACTTTTGTCAAAATTTGCTGAATTTTTTACCAGAGAAACTCTCGAAAACACACAAGGCACTTGGTTCATCGCATTGTTTCTTTTTCAAGAATTTGTTAGATGTGATCCGCTTTTTTTTCACGCAGAAGGCACAGCGCGCTATTTGTCTTTGTTGTTTCAGCGTGACACACACTAATGGTTCTCGATTCCTGTCGTCTATTTTTAAATTGAGCCATCGCGTCTATGATAGATTTATCGATACTGAATTTTCCTGTTTAACTATGTCTAATGCGGCGTTGTTCCTTTCTTTATCATTTCGTTCTATCTTGACGTGCTTTATTTTGCGACCATCTGTTCTATGTTCATGTCTTTCTTCTAGGTCTTGAGGAAATTATGGCGTCAGATTATTGTGACCGTTCAAAGGAGTTACTACTTTGTGCCCAGTTGCTTCATCAAAAGGTGATGTCGGGTCGTGTCGTTCTTAAGCCTCGCAAAAGTCAGCCAGGTGCTGTGACTGCCCTTTTTGCTTCGACTTTGCTTAAAACGCATCTTCTCCCACTTATTCATCAGGCATCAACCAGCTTGTCGTTGAGCCATGCAAAAATGGATCAGTTGGTCAACTTGTCGGAACGCTTTTCCACCTCCGCTCCACCAGATACTCTCTTGGCAGCTAGCATTTCTACCCTGACTCAGAAGTTGCAGCCGGAAGTGGTGGCCATTAGTTCCTTTTTGCAACGGTTATCTGGCGTGTCAGTTCAAGTTCAACATGAGTTGGCAGGTCGCCCGCAGGTCTGTAAGCACGTCAAGGCTCTAGTTGCCTCTCAGGAGGCACGCCTAGCTGACTTGTCACGCCGGTTAAGGGACTTTATGGAAGCTAATAGGACTATCATCTCAGGTCAACTCCCAGATTCCCCCAAATATGATGCTCCTTCGAGTCCATCGATTACTTCATCTCCAGTTTCTCGTCCGTCGCTCACGACACGATCTTCAAAACAATTCTATGAGAAGCCTAAAGTAACGGTTTATTCCATTTTACCGTCTGCATGATCCTATACTTTCAAATATCTGCTTTAGCTGAGGAACGGTGTATGCACTTGATTATTCCCAAATTTTTTCTTACCTTAATTCTCTTGTGTGGCTTGTGCGATGGAGTCTAACGGCTTATTGGCACATTCGATAGTCTCAGTAGGCTCGTTTTTATTGTTGCATTAAGGAATAAAGCGGTTAGTACGCCAACATTATCGAGAACAATCTGTGGTAATT